AATGATGTTACCTAACTTTGATGTTACATAAAAAGAGAAATATAAGTAAGCATTCATGAACATAGTAGACTGAAGATTGCTTCGTGAAATTAAAGAGAGTTTTGTGTGGCTATTTGGTCATCTTCCCACTGTTTATAGAACTCAGACAGATCCTAAAATATAATAGATTATGTTCTGAACCCATTACTTATAAAAAGGATATGTTCTAATAAAAATATTCAAAAGTTTTGAAATTCCTACTAGAATCAGAGGATATTAATCTCCAGTTTTCTTACCGGAACTGAATGATCTAAATGAGATTTTAAAGATTGGCTTGAATATCCGGGTAAGATATTACAAAAGGTAATACAAGATACGTTAGACCATCGTTTTAATGCTTATATTATTATTAAAAATGATACAGATTTAGTTACTCTAATGAAAGACAATAAGATTAACTCCATTCCTAGATATGGTTTTGAAGATCCTTTTAATTCTATAGATATTGAAGATATGATAAAAGTTCTCAAAAAAAAATTATACTAAACATTCTATAAATAAATTAATAAAATATGAAAATAATAATACAATTATTCAATTAGTATTAAAAGAAACTTATATTTTTCGCAATGGATTTTATTATAAGAAAATTAAGGCGTTGCCTCAAGGTGGGTCTGAAAGAAATAGCCTAGATCAGCGATACTCAACCTGCGGCCCAATGAGCCTTTTTAGGTGGCCTGGTCATGGCCCATTGCTCTGAGAAGTTTACTTATTTAAGAACATTGTATTAAAAATTTGGTGCGAAATTCTTTGTCAAGAAATAAAATATATCAGTTTTGCTTTTTGCATTCGGTGTCGTACGGATACGAATTGATATTCTTTTTCTATTTGGAACGGTAGTGATAACAGACAACAGGACTATATCTAAAATTTTATTGGAGGAACTAATTTTTAACTATCTTCCTTACCTTGCAAGAGCATAATATTTGAAAAAATTTTTTCGTTTCAAGACGATTGGGAGGATGACTATTTTGTAGTGAAATAATTGTTTGTGATTGTTTGATTAGTCACGAAAGTGCTGTATTTAAAAGATACCAATAAACAGGAATCATTCAACGACACTTTTCCTCAAAGATCTTTCAAAGGGTAATAAATAGGCTTTCTTGAATAATCTTTGTAACAGCAACAAAGTGTTTTGTTAGTGGTAATACAACAACGGTAACAAAGACATCCTATGAAGTTTGTTATATTATTGGTTATCATATGAAACCGTTTATTGATGCA